ACACGACAGACTATGCCTGCCTAAATCATGGGGAGGCCTGGCCCTACCGGACTTTCAGAAGTACTTCTATGCGACAGTGCTCCAGAGGATTCGAGAATGGCACACGGCCCCCACCAACAAACTGTGGACGAGACTGGACAGGGAAAGCACAAACAGAGCACTCCACATGTACATCTGGCACCGCCCGACAGGGGCTGCACAAGCTCTGGGTGCGGAATCCCCAGTGACGCAGATGCTGAAAACCTGGATCACCCTGTGAAGGAACGCGCACATCTCACCACAGCCAAGCCCCCTGATCCCCCTAACATATAACAAAACCATAGGAGGGGTACTGCACGCGAACGCGTGGCCAATACAAAGAGAAGAGGACTATGTACCTCTGAGCTCGGCCCTGACAAACCGGGAAATCACTTCAATTCTGGGTGACCCACCAGACTTTAGCATAGAGGCCGCGCTCCTACACTTCTTTACAGGACAGCTGGCACAATACAAACGCTCAATCCTATGACATCTGGTTGTACAGGAGGGGACTACATGGGGGACTGATATTACAGCTTTTTTCTCCCATCAGGCACCGCTGCACGAGAGGGATAATCCTCCCAGAATGCACCGTTAAGTGGATTATCCCCTCGTGCAGCAGAACCGATAATTCACATAAAAATCAATAACTTGGTGAATATATAGTGGATTTACACGAATGGACGTTCGGTAGATAGCTGGGGTCTGAGGGTATCATTCGTGAGATTACCGCTCAGATCCCTGCTAAAATAACCGAACGCCGCACGAACAACACAATTCATATAAAACATACAAAAAGAACCGATTGCTATTAGGGAACAAAATCCCGAACGTCCCGAAACTCCCGAACGTCCTGGAGGCTCAGCGGGGCTCATGCCGTCGAGTAGCCGTTTTTAGTACCAGGCGCTCGACGACATAACCCCGCTGAGGGAACAAAGGATCCAAGATGGCCGACCGCCGCATGGTCGGTAGTCGAACGACGGCCACCCAGGAGAGCCTCTAATAACCGATTGCAACAATGTTGCAATCGGTTAACTAGCGCCACACGCCTCTAAGTGTGTGGGCTATTAGGGGGTATCGCATTCGTTTCACGAACGGCCCTCCAAAGTGCCGTTCGTGAAACGAACGAGAATCCCCATACAAACCGCCATTTGCATTCGGCGGAACAGATAGGTACAGGCAATGCAGGGAATACATGAAGCAGACACATACAGGTAAAACGCATATCTCTCCAGACCTATAGGCAACCCTTAAAGGCATAGTGTCCAGTTATAGTCCGAGTGGCTAGGTTTGCCACAAGCACCATCCCTTGGCATCTACCCCAGGACTTTTTCACCAAGCTCAAAACAGCGGCAACAAAATATGTCTGGAAGGAGGGGAGGCCACGGCTTAAACACGACAGACTATGCCTGCCTAAATCATGGGGAGGCCTGGCCCTACCGGACTTTCAGAAGTACTTCTATGCGACAGTGCTCCAGAGGATTCGAGAATGGCACACGGCCCCCACCAACAAACTGTGGACGAGACTGGACAGGGAAAGCACAAACAGAGCACTCCACATGTACATCTGGCACCGCCCGACAGGGGCTGCACAAGCTCTGGGTGCGGAATCCCCAGTGACGCAGATGCTGAAAACCTGGATCACCCTGTGAAGGAACGCGCACATCTCACCACAGCCAAGCCCCCTGATCCCCCTAACATATAACAAAACCATAGGAGGGGTACTGCACGCGAACGCGTGGCCAATACAAAGAGAAGAGGACTATGTACCTCTGAGCTCGGCCCTGACAAACGCCAGCCTGCGTAGCCTCCAAGACTGGGCTAACACGGATCGCCTGATGATAATGCACCGATTTCACTACGCACAGCTGAGGCACTTCTACCATAATCTGCCCAGTAGGGGAGCAGTACATAGAGAATGGACCTGGTTTGAACACTTCTGCGAGAACTCTCCAGAGGCAGATGGCAGAGTGTTGGGCATATATCAACAACTGCTCACAGGGGAACTCACCAGAAATAACGCCTTCCAGAAGCAGTGGGAGGAACTGACGGACAGAACCTTCACAGACGCCCAATGGTCACAAATCCTCATACTACAACACAAAAGCTCAATAAACACCAGGCACCAAGAGGTGGACTACAAGCTGATCTCCCAGTGGTATAGAACACCAGCAAAACTGCACAGGATTTTCCCAGGGGTCCCGGATACATGTTGGAGATGTGAAACACAACCAGGCACCCTACGCCATATTTGGTGGGACTGCCCTAGGATCAAGCCATTCTGGGAAGAGATAAACCGGGAAATCACTTCAATTCTGGGTGACCCACCAGACTTTAGCATAGAGGCCGCGCTCCTACACTTCTTTACAGGACAGCTGGCACAATACAAACGCTCAATCCTATGACATCTGCTTAATGCAGCCAAAGCACTGATCCCAGCGAGATGGAAGCAAACCCAGCCACCCACCAAAACGGAATGGCTACAGAGAATAGAAGAGATCCACACAGCTGAGGCGAGATACGCTGAAATACTCGGGAGGAGAGACAAACACCTTGAAATGTGGACGCCATGGTACCTGTACACATCACAAACGAGGACAGGGGGTGGGACACAACTGGGATCCTAGCCAGCAAGAACAACACGCGCGTTTCAACACAACCTCTCTCCCCCCCCCCTGCCCCCAGATCTGCCCTGATCGGCTAACTCGGGAGTCAGGATAGGCCCATGCCACAACATAGTTCAGCCACATACCTTTCAGCTCCCCCCCCTCACCCACCCCCACCCAACCCTATCTCTTCCCCTCTCCCACCCTTTTTCCGGGCGAGGCCGGGGACCGCCTGGCGCAACACGGCCACAATAATATTAGAGCCCGAGAAGGCACCACAGTTTCCCCATGGGACGTGGGACCCGCGAGACATCGCATGATAAAGTCGGGGGGAATCCACGACAAGGGAAACTCCTACACAAAACAGCAAACATAAGACAACACGACGGTTGACACAACTGAACATCGAGACACCACATCACCCCCACCCAAAGGGGGAAAATACTCCAGACACATCACAGATACCAAAAGTACATAGCGACTGGAGAGCGACAACAAACACCGCCTACAAGGAAGCAAGACGACATAGATGACTAAACACACCACTGAGCACCCCCCCCCCCATAGCGGCATCGCCTCGTAAATGAGGAAGGCGCGTGGACTCAGAACGAGAGGGTAGATGACCCAGGAGAGAACCCACAACATACATAGGCACTACAGGAGTTAGGGAAAGGGCAGACAGAAGAGGGAAACCCAGACCTGGGGCAAGACTACAGGACCCGGTTCCACAAGACAAACCCCTATCTTACCCCCCACGTTAGAGGACGTGACCTGGGACCTACCGCACTATTAACCATCTGGTTGGGGAACAAATATAGAACCTATCTGTCCTTAATGTTATAGGCCAGCAACCCATCGCCTACAGCAGCGCTATATAAAGATCCGCCTAATACTTGTGGTGCGCATGTAAGATGCAAATAGAGACCTGCAAGTCTCACTGACAACATTCGTACTGTTTCCTGTTATTATCTGAACTGCTAATAAAAGCTATATTTAAAAAAAAAAAAAAAGAAATTGCACCTGGAAGAGAACAAAAGACCCAACAAAAGTTCTGCTACAGGGGGGGCGGAGCGAACAGCCATACTAGCAAGACGCACATTACTGCAACTCCGAGCAAAACAGCACCAAAAAGGCAAAAACGAACACAAATAACAACTAAAAAGCAGAACCCTCCACAGCCGGAGACTTCCCACATACCATGGGACGTAAAAATAAGAAATGCAAGCCAGATCGACCTCCATCCACGGCCGATATCGGCGATTTGCTGTGGAGGCCGCACTCCTCACAGAGGCCTGTCATGGCGCCGCTATCAGATGCCCCATCTCGCACTACTAGCGAAGAATCCCTGTACGACGGGACGCCCTTTGAGGCCCAGCTCCCCAACAAGGTGCAGAACTCACCGCAGACACTACCGGTCAAGCCTCCGGTCACAGAGGAATCCCTGCGGGGCATGCTGGCTGAACTTCGCCGCAACATCGCATCCGACATAGGACAGTTCAGGGAGGAGGTGAACGGGTTCGCGGCCCGTCTCCGCAACTCAGAGCGCACAACAGAAGCGCACGAGACCCGCATCGTGACCCTGGAGCAGTCGTTGACCAAACTGCATCACTCCCAAACACGCTCCGAGGAACACATGGCAGCTCTCGAGGACAAGCGGAGATGGAAGAATGTCAAGGTCCGTGGCCTACCCGATACCATGGAGATGGCAGAGTTCCCACACTTCATCCGCAGACTGCTCACTAAGCTTTTCTCTGCCAAACAAGCCAAGGCTATGACACTAGCCGGATGGCACCGTATAACGGACCCGCTACAGGAATACAACGACCAACTAGAGACATAATCCTCCGGTTCCAACAGGGGCAAGACCGCACAGCCTTTATGGCGGCAGTCCGCCACATAACACCATTACGATTTGAGGATCACGATCTCTCC